ACATCGCGCCCTACCTCCAACCACACTGCAAGTCACTCACGATCGGCTCTTGTCCAGTCCTCATCAACGGGTTCGGCCAGATCGCCCTCAACTTCGCAGTCTTTGCTGGGCTGGCAGCAGGGACGGGAACCACCAAGGACACGGTCGCGACCGTCTACTTCGGCCTCGCCTGCACCTTCAGCTCCACCATCCTCGTGCTGGGAGCACTCAAGAGCCGCGGGGAGATGGAGACAAGTGAGGATGCTGTTGACTTGTGGGGAGCTGGGGTGGAGCTGGGGGTCGGAGTTGTCGAGATGTGGCGTCTGTGTTGTCTGAACATCATGTTTCTCTTGTCTTGCACGCTGATTCTTGTCCATCAGTGCACGGGCAGATCATTCTTGGTCTCATGGTTCTGCAAGATATCACTGCCGTCCTCGCCCTTTCCATCCTCTCGGGCTTCGACAAGTCCGTGGAGAACCCTCCTCCCATCGGGCAAGTCATCGGCGTCATCATCGGCGAGCTCATCGCGATCATGGTCGTCCTCATCTTCCTCAACAAGTTCGTCCTCACTCCTCTCTTCCGCCTCTTTGCCGTCAACGGCGAGATGCTCTTCATCGGTACCTTCGCCTACGCCCTCGGCGTCGCCGGCATCTGCTCTCAGTTCGGGCTGGCGGAGATCGGAGCTTTCTATGCAGGCGTCAGCGTTGCCGCCCTGCCCTACAGGCTTCAGATCGAGACCAAGGTAGAGCCGATCAAGGCCTTCGGAGTCGTTCTCTTCTTCTTCATCCTCGGCATCGACCTCCACCTGACCCCTGAGGGACTCCGGGAAGCAGCGCCCATGGCAGTTGCGGTCGCACTGCTGACGGTGTTTGTGCTGCCGTCGCTCATGTGGTTGTGCGGGATGATGGCGGGAGTGGACGGGAGGTCAGCGTTCTTGATCGGAAATACGATCAACCAGGTCGGGGAGGGGAGGGGAGGAAGGAGAGGAGAGACGAGGAGAACTGGGAGAAAGTGAGGATTGAGAAGGAGGGGGAGGGAGACAGAGGGCGGTAGCGAGGCAGGAGTGGAGAAGACGACGGGACGACAGAAGGAGGAGCGAGGATAGGAGAGAAGAGGAGAGGCAAGGACAGGAGAGGAGGAGGGTTGGAGCTTTAGCTGACAGGATGCAATCAGGTCTCAGAGTTCTCGCTCATCATCGCCTCTCTCGCCAAGGGCTACGGGGTCTTCGACGAGAAGATCTTCATGATCATAACCCTCGGCACCCTCATCACGCTTCTCCTCTCCTCCTCCGGCCACGTCCTCGCCGATCAGATCTACGGCAAGATCAGCTGCCTTCTCTACCCCCTGGACAAGTGGTGCAGGGTGAAGGAGGAGGCGGAGGAGGCGTTCCTGATGGAGCAACACGTTGTGCTCCTAGGATTCAACGAGGCCGGGTTCGAAGTCGCTGAATTCTTCCGCAAGCGCGGCAAGGACGTGCTCTGCATCCACCTCGACGCCTCCCTGCATGAGACGTTCCAGAGGATGTTTGTGCTCGGGCAGGCAGCACGGGACGTAGGAGGAGGAGGAGAAGGAGGAGGGAAGAAGGAGGAGGGAGAAGTCAGCGCGGAACAGGTCAAGCCAATGTTTGAGGAGTGTATGGAAGACGGGAAGGAGGGGGAGGAGAAGAATGGGGAGGAGAAGAAGGAGAACGGGAAGGAGGGGGAGGAGAAGAAGAAGGAGAACGGGAAGGAGACGAGGAAGGAGAACGGGAAGGGAGGAGGGAAGGAGGAGGGGAAGGATGTTGAAAATCCTCTCCCTCCTTCGTCACAGACAGGAAGCAACATCTACTCGCAGTATGCTGATCCTGAGAACCCTGAGAGCTGGCACCACTACTCCCTCCACTCTGCGAGCCTCGTGGTGTCCTGCCTGCAGGATAGGACGGTGAGGAGGAGGATAGGGGGAGGGAGAGGAGGAGAGACAGACGGGAGGAGAAGGACTAAGAGGAGGAGATGGTGGCGGAGGAGTTGGAGGAGGGTGTCTGAATGATGCTGATTGCAGGAAACAGATTCTGCTCTTGCGGCCGAATTGAAACATCATGGTAACAAGAGATTGAGACCAGAGAGGAGGAGGAGGAGGAGGAGAGGAGGAGAGGAGGAGAGAGGGGGGGGGGGGGGAGAAGGGAGGGAGGAGGAGGTAGTTGTACCACCAGATTTCTGGTAACTTAGATGGTGAGTCTCGTAATAGCCCATCTCCTGCTCACTCCTTCCCTTCTTCAAACTCCTCTCAACTGCCACACAGCTTCATCAAACATTTTATTAACACTTCTTCTCCTTATGCAGTTTTTAATTAATTGGTGGGGGAACCTACGACTATCCTCGGGGCGGATGC